CTGCTTTTTCTTTGAATGGAGCCAGTTCAGCTGTTTCCAGTCTTGATGCTAAGCTAAGCTAACCGGCTGCTGGTTTTCTGTTAATATTTAGACACAGTGGAATCAGTCCTCCAACCCTCAATAAGAAAACCAAACATTTCCCAAACTGCCCCACTGAACTCACCCGTTGCCTGTTTGCTCTGTGACCTCCCGCAGACCGGACAAGCACCAGGCCGAGCAGGGCCAAGCCGGGCCGGGCGGCGGCGGTACCGGAGAGTGGAGGCCTCAGGGCCGGAGCTTCTGCTTCTGCAGCGCCAACGTCTGCCTGCTGCCCGACTCTCTGGCCCGTTTCAACAACCTGTCGGACACCCACCGGAGAGCCAGAGAGGTCGGCAAGAGGATCCGCAACGGGGCCAGTCGGCCTCAGATCAAGATCTACATCGACTCGCCCACAAACACCTCCATCAGGTCAGAACCTGCTGTTTGTTCTTCCACAGGGAAACTCACTGTTACTGTTTTCTCTGCACCTTATTATGAACCATGGAGGCCTCATGTTGTAGATTCTCAGTCATCAGGTCACTGTGATACTCAGAACTTCAGCAAAAAGCAGCTGGACTTCTGTTCTAGGTTCTTAAAGATGTTTCATCTTCACCCAAAACGCTTCTTTAGTTCTGAAACTTCCATCAGTCAGAACTGAAGAAGAACTTTCAATGAAGTTAAAACATCTGCGCGCTCGGGCTCCGACTCCGCTGGCGTGAGCGTGACGTGACGCACAGGCCGCACTTGGCTACAAAGACCAGTTTCTGTGTTTAGGTTAGCGGTGACGGCTCCGTTTCCGTGGCGACGGAGATATTCGGAGGTCAAGTTTCATATCTCGATTCCAGCACAGCGATCGAACAGTCGGCTATTCGGGTCCAGCCCTACTGGCTAGATAGCTAAAGAGCTGGCTTTATGTTAAACTGATAGCATGATGCTGTGTTAGCTTCCTGTAGCATTATTTAGCTTGGATTTTCTACTAGCATCGGCTACACTGCACTGTTCATTTGTCATTTTTGTGTTATAAATTGAAATTCTAAACGTGTCTTCCTGTGTGTTTCAGCGCTGCGTCCTTCAGCAGTCTCGCCACTGGTTTCCGTCGAACTTCTTCTTTGGACCATCGTCCGGACCAAACCCCCACCACCAACGGACCCGCCGACACCGAAACAGAACCGCTCACCGAGTGTCCAATCCACCCCTCAGGAGCCGCTGACTGCCCCATCCACCCATCTGCAGCCGACCAGTGCCCCGCCCACCCCGATGCAGCGCCCCCTGCAGGCGACTGTCCGCTGCACCAGACTGGAACCACCAGCAGCTCAGAATGCCCCGCCCACGGTGCCGGGGAGGCTGACTGCCCCGCGCACGCTCCCGGCAACCATGACTGTGCCGTGCACACCCCCGGCAACCATGACTGTGCTGTACACGCCCCTGGCAACCATGACTGTGCCGTGCACGCCCCTGGTAACCATGACTGCGCCGTGCACGCCTCCGGCAACCATGACTGCGCCGTGCACGCCCCTGGCCACCATGACTGTGCCGTGCACGGTGACGCGGCACCGAAGCGGCCCTCTGACTGCCCATTGCACACCTCGGGGGTCCAGATCAGCATCAGCGCCCCGGAGCCGGACCCGGATGAGGAGGAGACAGGGAACCACCGGGAGGCGGGCGGCGACTCCATGACGGCGTCCCGGGAGTCGCTCGCCCGTTACCATGGTGACAGCGGTGTCGGGATCTCCTCCAACAACACGCTGTCACACGTCCCGCGCACCTCCATCTTCAAGCGCCCGGGACGGAAACGTCGCCACGGAGACGAGACGTTCGACCACGAGATCTCCGCCTTTTTTCCCGCCAACCTGGACTTCCTGGCGTTGCAGGAAGTGTTCGACCACGGCGCGACGTCGCGGCTGCGGCGCCAGCTGCACCGCTACTTCCCCTACGTGCTGAGCGACGTCGGCCGCTACGGCTGGAAGGGCTGCTGCTCCAGGTTCAAGTTCCTGAACAGCGGCCTGATGCTCGCCAGCCGCTACCCGATCCTGGACGCCCGCTACGAGTGTTACCCCAACGGGAGAGGCGAGGACGCGCTGGCCGCCAAGGGGGCGCTGTTCGCCAAGGTGAGAGTTGACTTTACCTTCTACCTGCTGCTGTGGTTTCACTGGTAGATCTTAATGCTGTCGGTCTCATGTTTCCACGTTTAATATGAAGCTGCACAACATCGGAAAAAAGCAAGACAAAGATATTTAGTTTGACTGTGAGTTGCGTTGAAAAATCCAGGATTTTATTCGCAGATGATGCTGATTTCTTCAGTCAAGCTGATTTGTTGTGTTGTCTTGTTGCAAGACGCTGCAAAAATACTTGTTTTTGGTCACATCATCCTTTCTAGACTGATGATAAAATATTTTCAGATATGAGTGGAGCTGCACAGTAATAATCACAATTATTCTCTGATTTTAGAAAATGTTTTTTTTTATCAGTTTTCTCTTTGCGTTTCTTTCTTTATTCTGAAAGTAAAGACAAACATTTTGTAATTTTTGCACTTGAGAAAGTCTCACTTTGATGTAATTTTGGGTAGTTTTTGATTCTTTTTGACTCACAATCACGTGTGTTCATTGATTTTTAGAGCCAAAACACTTTTTATTCCACTTTGAGGTTTCAACAAAGTGCTGCTTTAGCTCAAGAGTAAAAATGGCGATAATGGAAGATAATATAGAAAAATGAACAAAATAAGACACAAAATAACCAAAAATTAGCAAACTGACGTGTAAAAGACAAAACATTGCTAAAATGAGGCATAAAATAACCAAAAAATTGAACCAAATTAGGCACAAAATGACCAAAATTTTGCAAAATGAGATGTAAAACCACAAAACATTACTAAAATGAGGCACAACATAACCCAAACAATAAATGACATGTGGCACAAATAAACAAAAATGAACAAAATGAGGTACAGAGTGACCACTAATGAATACAGGGAGGCACAAAATTACCAAAAATGATCAAAAATGAAATGTCAAATTACAAAACATTACAAAAATGAGGCACACAATGAGCTAAATTAGGTATAAAACGACAACAAATGAACCAAATGAGGCACAAAATGACGTAAAATATAATATAATGTCCAAACTCTAACATTAGAGCTTGACTCGTACGATTCTGTCCGTCAGTGTTTCAGCGTTTTTTTAACGGGCGGGTCAACGTGTTCTGTTATTAACTGACCTCCTGATTGAGCCTCACGCCGAACACAGTTTGTCCGATTCTTTGTTAGAAAGCGCCGCCGCAAAGACGAGCCGACACGTAATCAGAAAGTAATTATTTTCTCTGCAGAGCTGCACTCAGGAGCCCGGAGCCGTGGACAGTTCTAGTCCCGCTTCAAATAAAAATGTGATTCTTTTCTCCAGCAGCTGGTTTAGAAACGGAAAGCCTGTTTTTTTAGTTCAAAGTCTCACAGATTATTTTCTGAATCGGAACCAGTTTCAAGGCAGGAGCCTGTGCTCACCTTTCTGGTTTTTATTCACTCTGCAGACACATAATTTCCCTTCAGTCGGAGCCGATTCAGAACTAAATGTCACCGCGGGCCCGATTTCACGGTTTCCAGCAGCAGAATCGTTGTGATCGCTGCTGCAGCCCAAAGCTAATCTTGTCATCTCCGATGCCGCTCCGAGACTTTAGAGGCTGTAATTGAATCTGCCCATTAAGTCTATTTATACTAAATTAAGTTATTATACATTTGTGAAGGGGAGTGTGAAAGAGTCGCCGCTGAAATGACCTGCCAGCTGTCAGCATTAATTATACATCCGCATGTAGTGAAGCAGGAGAGACGTACGGGACTCGACTCAGCAGACAGACTACACAAGACGAGGCGCAAAAAACACCGAAAATGAAAGAGATGAGACGCAAAATGAACAAAACGAGGCCCGAAAAACACTTTAAATGGGAAAAATAAGGTGTAAAGTAACGACAGATTAGCCAAATGAGGCACTGGATGAACAAAACGAGATGCAAAATGACAAGAAATTAACAAAATGAGTCACAAAAATAGTAAAGGTGTTTTTGTGTCCTTTGGTGGTCTTTTTTGGTTTCTTAATGGTCTATGATGGTCTGTTGTGTCTCTTGGTGGTCTTTAGGCATTTTCTTGAGGTCTTTTTGTGTCTCGTGATGGTCTTTTATGTCTCTTGGGGGTCTTTTTGTGTCTTTTGGTGGGCGTTTTGTGTTTCTTAGTGGCCTTTTCTCGTCTCTTG